TTTTTTTTTTATTGTCATGGGCTGACTCAGGGTCTAGAATGCTGTCTGAGCTTCTGCTCAAGGCTATTGCTCTACTACTTAAGCCATTCAAGCTCACTTTGGAGTTTCTGGTGGTTAATTGGAGGTAACCATCTCATGGACTTTCTTGCCCATGGTCTTGAGCCATGGTCCTCAGCTCTCAGCCTCTGAGTAGCTAGGATTCAGAATTCCTCTTTTCACCTTGGATGGGAGGACTTAGGGTGTAGTTGATGACTTAACCTGTTTCCTGTGTTCTTTCTGCAGGTCAGATTGAGCTGTACACGCATTTGCCTGTGATGAAGCAGCTAGTCCAGCAGCTGGAGCAGTGGGAGTTCCGAGTCTGTGGAGTTTTTCTTGTCGATTCCCAGTTCATGGTGGAGTCATTCAAGGTTTGGGGATAAGTGTGTTGGCGATTGCTTGGTCATGGGTACTGTACAGAGACGGCATCCTCCTCTAACTACTGTGATTCCTGGCATTGCACACACCAGTCTAGAGCTACTTAGTATCCTTTTCTTAATTACTACATTATTATGTCATGTATTTTTAACTCACTAATAGATATTTTTAGCTCAAAAATAAGAAATGAAATACAGATTTTGGAGAGTTGCTTGCTTAAAAAAAAAAAAAAACTGATACAAGCCGGGCACTGGTGGTTCATGCCTGTAATCATAGCTACTCAAGAGGTTGAGATCTGAGCCAGCCTGGGCGCAAGAAAGTTCGTGAGACTCGTAATGTCTAATTAAGCATCAGAAAACTGAAGTGGCACTGTGGCTGAAAGTGGGAGAGCGCTAGCCTTGAACAAAAGGAGCTCAGGGACAGCACCCAGGCCCTGAGTTCAAGCCCCAAGACTGACAGAAAAATAAAGGTCTATTTGGAATTTCTGTCTAAACTGGAATTTGTGGTTAGCACAGATGGAAGTCCACATCTTTTATTCTTCCCTCACCTGGGAGTCCATGTGAGCTGTGGTTCTCTAGGTCTTTGGTCACAGGAGCATTTCTTACTCCGGCATTGCCGTCAGGATGGGGTAGAGGCCTCTCTCGGTGACTGAGGCAACCATTGATCCCGTCTGTGCCTCTTTCAGTTCATCTCTGGCGTCCTGGCAGCCCTGAGTGCCATGATCTCTCTGGAAATTCCTCAAGTGAACATCATGACCAAAATGGACCTGCTGAGCAAGAAAGCGAAGAAGGAAATTGAGAAGTGAGTTTCCTGTCCTGTGGCTGTCAGGTCTCAGCCCTCTGTCTGCCGAGTTGTGACCTTCCCTGCTGTAACCCCGGCCTCCTGATTAGTATCCATTCTTTACTTTGACAGGTTTCTGGATCCTGATATGTATTCTTTATTACAAGATTCCACAAGTGGCTTAAGAAGCAAAAAATTTAAAAAACTGACTAATGCTATTTGTGGACTGGTAAGCTTTTTAAAGTGTATTTAATCTTGAGAAGATTTTTGCTGGTCATGGGGTTTGAGCTCAGGGCCTGGGTGCTGTTCCTGAGTTCTTTTTTTTTTTTTTTTTTTTGGTCCAGTCGTGGGGCCTGAACTCTGGGCCTGGGCGCTGTCCCTCAGCTCTTCAGCTCAAGGCTCTACCACTTGAGCCACAGTGACACTTCCGGCTTTTTTCTTTTTGCTTATGTGGTGCTGAGGAATCGAACCCAGGGCCTCAGGCATGCAAGGCAAGCGCTCTACCACTGAGCCACCTTCCCAGCACAGGGCTCTATCTCTTGAGCCACAGCGCCACTTCCTGTTCTCCAGTGGTTTATTGGAGATAAAAGCCTCACTGACTTTGCTGCCTGGGCTGGCTTTGAACCATGATCCTCAGATCTCAGCCTCCTGAGCAGCTAGGAATATAGGCGTGAGCCACCAGTGACAGCCAGCTAATTTTGAGGAGTTTTTGGCCTGGTTGAGAATTTGACTGTGTCTAGTCAGTGGCCCTATTCCTGGAAAGCATGGTCCAGCCCCACACCTGCAAAAAA